ATTATTTCATCTGATGCTTGATAAATTCTTTATCATTTGCAGTCTTTCACAAAGATTATATTAGCTTGATCTTCTTTTAGCATATTTACTATTTGAAGAACTCACAAAAATGGAAACATATTACATGAGTGTTGTTCCCAGAAGAATACTTAGTGTTGGTATAACGTATCTTTATATCCACTTTCAAGGTCATTACTGTGTTTCATGTTGGTAATAATAGCTTTAGTGAACGTTGTCGTTGTAAATCCTTTCTATTAAAAATTGCGTAAATACAACTTAGCACGTCTTTTTGGAGTATGCTAGAATTTCATTTGTTCGAAAACCAGATTCTGATAACACATTCATATATATTTACACTGCTTCAATTTCTCTAAAATAATATATTGTGTTTGTTTAGTATAGTCTGATGCAGTGTACGGTTAATTCATTCATGTTGCATGAATGCAGTAGATATATGTCTTGAAGGTGCCTATATACACATTTTTCAGAATATAGTTTCATGAAAATTTACTAGATTTACATGTGCTTGACCTCATGCTTGTCTTCCGCTTTTGGGATTTGTTCGCATCACTGAATATAATTTCTTAATATCCACTGTATCCCTTTATTTAACAGTATCTGACAAATAATGGACCAACAGTTTGAGGTTAAGTTTCGTGAGATTTCGGAATAAAATGTTTTAAGAGTCACATGAAGCTTAAAAAATGTCCAAACAAGCTTCGAAAAAGGTTAATCGTTTGCTTATAACAGTTGAAAACACTAGTAATTTGTTGTGTACACTGCATGAATGTCAACAAAGATTATAAATAATCTCGTAGTAGACTTGGTTTTTGTCATTAATCTTCTGGACCAGGACATCTGATATCATTTATCTATGGAGTCATGGGTGGTTTTGGTTCCGTGTAAGGTCAGAATAACAAATGTCATTGTACTATTCAGTTACCTAAAGTATTGTACATAGTTTTCAAAGAACAGTGCTATCTCCAAGTTACTACAGTTTTGAGTAGTTCATTACGACTAATTAAAATAAATGACTTGAACATCTTATTAGGAGATAAAAACTACTCGTACTGAGTCAAATATAAGTATTAGGCAATAATGTAAATGTTCAGATAATTTTTCTCCATCTATAAATGCTATTATTATTCATAGTTTTTGCAACCAAAAGTTATTCAGCAGTTTTCTATTTACTTACTTACTTACGCCTATTACTCCTCGTAAAGGAGCATAGGCCGCTCACCAGCATTCTCCATCCAACCCTGTCCTGGGCAATCCTTTCTAGCTCCTTACAGTTGTTATTCATCCTTTCCATATCTGCTTTTATTTCCCGACGTAATGGGTTCTTTGACCTTCCCCTTTTACGCTTCCCTTCAGGATTCCAGGTTAGGGCTTACCTCGTGATGCAGTTTGATGATTTGCGTAATGTATGTCCTATCCATTTCCACCGTCTTTTCTTAATTTCTTCTTCAGCTGGAAGCTGGTTTGTTCTCTCCCACAAAAGGCTGTTGCTGATGGTATCCGGCCAATGGATGTTGAGTATCTTGCGTAGACAGCTATTTATAAATACTTGCACATGTTTGATGATGGTTGTTGTAGTTCTCCAAGTTTCAGCTCCGTACAGTAGAACTGCCTTGACGTTCGTATTGAAGATTGTGACTTTGGTATTGGTTTGCAGTTGTTTTGAGTTCCATATGTTCTTCAATTGTAGGAATGCGGCCCTTGCTTTGCCAATCCTCGCCTTTATGTCTGCATCTGAACCTCCTTGTTCATCGAAGATGCTTCTCAGGTATGTGAAGGATTCTACATCTTCCATCAGTTTTCTATTTATTGACAATAATTTGATGATTACTTGAAATTTTATTTTTCTGTGAGACTTATCTACTGATAAACAATATATAACTATTAATTGTACTGCATATGATAAATCCAGGAATATTAAAACTTCGCTCTCTTACAGAGGGTACTTAGGACTGCTTCAGTTTGTAGAGATTTCAAAATTTCTAGGAAAATCTGAGACCACAGTCTCTCGACAGAAATTAACATGTAATATTCATAGATCAAAGCTTTTGTAGTCTTTTGTTTGCTCAACATTTACGTGTGGACAAAATGTGGGTTTTAAGTGAATAATTTACTAAAACCTTTCTCTGTTTATAAAAACAAAACATTTTGCTAGTTTGTGAACGTCACCTAACTCGAAAAGTTTTAATAAAGATCGAGTTGCTATATAGTATTCTTGATGTGCATCGAATAAATCTATGCAACTATCTGTCTCTGGAGACGATACAGAACTTGACAGACTAATGTGAATAGCTTTCTTTTAACAATAAATGCATAAGTTGAGATACTTTACCATAGTGTTTCTGTACCATTTTGAATATCGTTTTGTGTTTCTGCGAAATGATAATTACTTTATAGATAATTACATTCCACTATTTCTTATATTTACAAGGCTTTCACTTTCTTCATCACCTGGACAATTGGTATCCATGAGTACGTTTTAAACAGACCCTGGCTATTGTGTTAAATACATAATATTCCTTTTTCTAGATCTGTGCACCACTCGTTACACTGAATAGGATTTCGGGAACATGAGTGACTACACCGATGGATAGATTTGAATCGCAAAAATATGGAATAATCTAGATAACTGTTGACTTCAAGATTTTATATGAAATTAGATGAGATTGTGAAACTTTGAAAATAACACTGGTTTACAATGTTCCCTTCATGTATGATTTACAACCAGCACATTGGAAGTGAAAGTAATTTCTCACGCAAATCCAATGTTGTACCAGTAACCTGATGTAACCCAATGTACACAAAAAGTAAGTCACTGCAAACGAGGTTTTTGTTGATTAAAAACATCAATATCGATTTGTCAATCCTGCTTGTCTCCTCCCTAATGAAAAAACGCTAATTGTTGGTTCTTTGTTCGTTTGAACCCTATTATTTCGAGCAATACAAGTGGTATCATTTACCACTCAAGACTCGTTAGAATTAGGTTTCACTTAAAATTCCATTTCCAAAGTTTGAGCATTATTGATTTTTTTCATCTATGAAATGTTAACCAATCTCATGGTACTACCTATTGACAAGGTTTTCGCATTTTCTGTCCCAAACTACATAGTAAACTTAGGGTCATCGAGGAACTGAGGTCAAATGTAAACAAGTACAGGCTCATACTTGATTATACCTGTGCATCCACACTTGATGTGTGATTTGAATTTCCTACAGAACCCAGAAACTCTTTTGACCTTACATAGAATGAGTCACTTAAGATCAACTGTATAGTTTGGGACTTGGTTGTGATGTCAACTAATATCAGATACTTCAAGTTTCGTACCATCAGTATTCGTAAACTAAAGCAACACAGACTAACTCCTAGTTATTCAGAAGTATCAATGAATATCTCATCTTGTTTGCTAGTGATCTAAATGTTTTCTCCCAACTGTTGAGGGGTTGATTTTGTAATACATTCATCAGAGCGCAAAATCAGTGCATGGAATCGCTGATAAACATGTTTTTGGTGCCGCTCGGCAGTTCGTACGAGACGTCTATGAGACCCAACACACTATTCCATCTCAGTAATTATGATTTTGACAGTGTTAAAAAACAATGTAAAACGTTGTTTTGAGTTGTGGTACCGTTATTTATTTCCATACATTCTGAACTAAGTCCTGAAAGTCATTTTAGAAGCTACATTTTATTTGAAATAGAATGCTTCAAGTCTTTGAAGGAGTTTGAGACCCACTTATGTACAGTATGTACTACCACATCCTCTGTTAAGCAGTTACCAAGTCCAGTTTGAATGTTCAGTATCCTTATTACTACTGGGATTTGGATAAAGTCGAAGTTGTAGTCTCTAGATGTCACTAGTCTTTGTCATGTAGGGAATTTTATTCTAACTGCACATACGGACCCATTGCTATATCACTGGGAGAATTCTTTTTACAACTCTCGCAGTGCTTGAATAGTTAAATCTTGATTGGTTTCCACCTAGTTCTTTTCCTCACAAACTAAACTAACCCACAACTCAGCGCTTTTTGTATGGTCAGACTGAATATCACACAATTCTATGTGGTCCCTTAGAAGTCCACCACATACTTCTAGATGCGTGTTAATAATCTGATCCGATTTGACTATTTGAGCCATTCAAGCCCACAACAGTACAAGGAATATAATTAATTATTTCTAGTGATATTTAATGCGCGACTTCGGAAATCGTAGGCATTCGCAATTTGAGTTTAGAGTTTATGTTGCTAGTTTAACCAACAAGACCCTAAGCTCATGAGAAGTGCAAACTAGTCGAAATCTTACTCATGGAAGGAGTGAAGTACGGATTCCGCAGTTTCCCCAAGTGATATGAGCCAAAACGAAAATCGTTTCAGTACTCAGGAGTTTCGATTGAATTTCACATTGAGGTGCACATACGATAAACGTGTACCACGAAGTAATTTTTAAAACATTAGACACTTAATATTAATCTTTTGGTGAAGTCTGTTAAGACGGGAGAGCTACAGGTAAGTTTTGCATTGCAGCAAGCAAGTTAATCACGGAGACAAGTCCCACTCGTAAAACATTTTGGTGGTTTTAGGAAGTTCTAGTCACGAAGTGTGAATCAAGACACGTGATAACTTAAAGAGCGACTACTTATGACATACACTTACCCACTGCACAACTGAGGAGTTGGATATATATTTTAGAGCCAACTGGTCAGATGGTTCAAGAATGACGTGTCTCTCTCAGGTTCAACTTTATTTATGACTGTTTGTTCTACCCCTATCCTGTTTTAGACCAGGCTAGTGGCAGAATAATGCCGATAGAACAAAGCAACATTACTAAGCCTGTCTCTCAAATATCCTTCACTTTTATTGGACAATTAGAAAACAGGTCATTGATTCAGACCGTCACAAATACTTACGTCTTTCTTATTGGTTTAGACTCGCCCCCCTCTACTATGGAAAAAATTAATGTTGGATTAGCAATCAAGCCTTGGCTATTAAACCAATCAGCTTGTACTTAGGAGTCTGAGTCATTTTAGACCAGTGATAACGATGTCGGATAAAGGTTATTGGTCAGTGTGGCTTTCGCATTGCATAGCAGACTAGCACGGAAAGTATTTACGTATTTGCAAGTATACGCTCAGGCAGATATTCACGTGGAATATGGGTGGGAGATCAGGCAAGTTCGTGGTACCTCATACAGCAGAGAAGACCGAAGACAGTCTTCGTAAACCTGTAAGTAACAGTCTTTTGTTTCATTTTTTTGACAAACACGAAACTAACTTAGTAGCTTCTTGAAATTATCCACTGAGGTTTATCCTTCTCTGGGATGTATGAGCAGAATAATGAGTCTTACCGTAAACAGCCTTATGTATTGGTGATTTTCAAAACTTCGTACTGCCTTATTGTTTAAACATAGTTCCGAAGTCATATTCTGTTACTATGATAGTCTTATCAGAGAATAAACTGTAATATCTGGAATTTAGCACTTGGTCAGTATTTAAGTATACTCAACAGACCATCCCACTGTTAAAGCTTATTTACAACATTTTAGCTCCAAAATCTAGTCCTCTGAGTGTATGAACTGTCATTTAGCGATCCAAACTATCACTTGCGATACAGAAAATAACTGAAAGGTTTTAATTATGATCAACGTACGTGAGGAAAATTGATGACACTCTCCATAGAGAACACTAGTGGGTTTTACGACTTAGTTGTGTGTAGAAATTTCAAAAGATACATGTTTCTAATTTTGCCGTAGAAGTGAAATAACGTCTTTGTTTGAGGTTATCTTTGCGACTACTCACAGATGTTATCGAATTATGCGCTTAACATTGTAGTGTAACAAGCTTGACGAAAAAAACCACTTTTTGACCCGATGTAATTTCTAAGAAAAGCAAATTCTTATTTGGTTCACATTCCCCTGTACGGAGTGAAAACAGTAAAAATAACTGGTATGCCTTCAAATCAGTTGTAGTAACTCAGATCCATAAGTTATCTCAATCTTATCTGTCCGTAATGTCTTATTCATTTCCTGTAATTGCCTGTACTTGTCCTTCCCCTTGGTCTCTTTCTGCGTTGATGCAGTGTGGAAACTTCCGTATTTGACGTCTGAAGTAGTATCACGAATAACATTGATATTATAGTATACGAAAGGGACAGGTATTTGAATTGTTATCAACTATCAGTTTTCTGTGTTGCTAATAATCTTGTCAGTAATCCTATTTAATAATGTGCTGTGTCAGCGCTCACATAATTGACCTCTAGTAAGGTTAAGCTAATGTTGTAGTTTCCGTATCTCCATATAAACTTCTGATCTGTGGGTTTTATCCTTATTTTTTTCCTCACTTCTGGATGATATGGTAGATCAGAAATTTTTACCGCATCAAACATGCCTTATAATTAAGTAAAATACATCTTTACCCAAAATGACGTTACTAGTGCTTGTGTAACACCGATAGCGTTTAATTGCTTTTGGCGATTTCCTTTAATATGCATGAAATAACCAAGTAATCTTTGATAATATCTTGATAAATTCTTGGTATTCTCCTGGTCTCTCATCAATCAATATTAATGTGGATCAGTGCGTAACTTTTATGCTATTCTCACTTACAACCAAGTAGATACTAAAACAATTAACGGCTATGCTGGATCTATTTTGCTGCAATCGTATTTCATGTTTCGCTATTCCAATGTCAGTCTTGTTTCCTATCTGCTGATAATGCCTTATAAATGAGATTATTTTGTGATCGGTTAGCTGATCTCCAAAGCTTGTGTACGAGCAACACTAAGATAAATATACAAATAAGATTAATTGACATTTCCTTAAAGACTAAATCCGTCTGTTCTCAGTTTTCCCTAGTAACTTGGTAACTACATTTTCAATACTTCCAAAAAATTCAAGTTTTTCATATACCGATCTATCATTTGTCTGTTCCAAATAAGTTTCAGTATGGTAAATACGCTCCTAATCGGCTTGTTAAAATAACTGTGTGTATCGTAACCGGTCTAAATACATCTCATTATTACCTTTTTCTGCCGACGTTAGTGTCCCTGCCTGTGTGTTGTTACCATCATCATATTTAGTTTCGATTGGTATCTCTAGTTAGTTTTAATTCCTTAACAGTTGAAAATGACCAGTATTTGATGGCTGCATAGACCACCTATTCACCATTCGTCAGATTTTAGAACACATGCTTGCTTATCGGCGTCCGCAGAATTTGACTCTGTAGACCGAGACGTTCTGTGGCAGCCTAATAATGAAAGGTGTGCCTCAAAGGACATAAACCTTGTGAAGACTTTACTCGAACACTGCTGGTCGAGTCAGAGCTTATAGCAAACTGTCATCTGATTTTTCAACCTTAATTGGTATTCGGTGAGGTTGTCCACTGTCTCCATTTTTGTTTAGCTTCGTTATAGATCTGCTGAAAATAATATTCTCGTCGTCTGAATTTTCAGTAATTGATCTCCTAGGAAGTCCACTTATCGACTTTTGACACGCAGATGATATAGTCCTGTTTGGTAAAGATGCTGATAAAATTCAGTTTTTCTGTGACACTGACTAACAATGCCAGAATGTTTGGGATGCGTTTCTCCCCCTCGAAATGCAAGTTGTTGCCTCAGACTGGCGTGCGTCAGCACTTGAACTAAAGTTAGGGAGTGAAGTAACCGAACACGTCTGATCAATCGTAATGGGTCGTTGCTTGACGACTAGCTTTTGCCAACTCACGTCACCAATGGCGAAGGCAAGATATCCATCTCTCAATTAAAGGACGAGTACACCGCGCAGCAGTTCGCTCTGTTATTCTTTACGGCTGCGAAACGTGGCCATTAAGGTTAGAGGTTACTAGTATTTGATCATAGATGTCTTCGAAGTATTGCTCGTATCTGCTTAGATCACCGGGTATGTAATAGTGAGGTTAGGCGCAGAGTATTAAGGAATGATGGTAAATCAGTTGATGAGGTTGTAAATCTTCATCGACTGAGATGATTAGTCTACGTATTACGCATACCCAACCACCGATTACCACGACGCGCAATGCTGACTAGTGTTGGAGACTTTTGGAAGAAAGTTAGGGGCGGTCAGAACGTAGCGTTAGTCCATAAAGTCACTAATTAATTCTTTCTCCCTGTATCATATCCTTATATGCAATATTGTTTTATCTATTGCTAACATTGAGGTAACTGCTATGAATTTGGTGTTCATCTTGTTGTGCTAATGACGTGTGACAACTTGGATTGATGAATATATGTACCTGGTCCTACGTTGTAGCTGACTGACTGACGAGTATCTGAAATTGGACCCAATGTATTTTCGTGAAAGTTTGAGATCTCTTTATAAAAAGGGCAATGTATAATGCATTTGTGGCCTAATAACTGCACATGGATATCGAGGATTTAGAATTGTCCGATAGATGTCTGTCGACTACATTACTGTAGTTTTGCAGTCATAGTGCCATCGAATTCCAACTATTGGATACAAGGTTCAATTCATCTCCGTGTTTGGTCTAAGCAACTGAGTATTAATCACTAGCTCACACGAAAATATGGCTTAAAAGTGATTATGAAAAGTTGCATCTCATTCGAAATCTACATGTTCTCTTTCAGTTAAATACAACTAATTATCCCTAAATTTCTCGTTCATATTTCTCCGCTGTTTTTTCAGGATGCTGTTGAGCAAGTTAAAGCGTTGGATAGCGAGCAGTCAGTTCAAGTAAGTATATGCAGCCTGTTTCACAATATCCTTACAAATTAGTTTTAAAATGCATGTCCTTGTCTTTGCTTTACCAATTCGCTAGTATATCCTGGTGATTTTTTTCTTGTTTTCTCATCTACTAATCAATTAGCTTTTAAATGGAGTTGTCACAGCTGGTCCAGATGTTCCCTGTATAGATGAGGTTACGGAGGTACGCTTGTCTTTGAGGCTTCAAATTTTTTCTGCTTTATGGGGATTAAATGTATAAACAGTAGTTGCTAATATTGTTACTTTGGACAGTTTGTCTAAACTTTGTCGCTTAATGTGCTTGCTTAGTCCCTATTCTGACAATAAGTAGTACTAAATTTTACGCCTAGTATTTAAATTTGAATAACAAGTAGAAATTTTTTATCACTGACTTTTAATTAGCGAATTTATCCTATCGATTAAAATGTTCCAGTAATCGCAACTCATATTTCAGTGTCACTTATTGTCTGCTTTAAGTCATCGATCTGTTTTAATACTTATTTGCTACAGCAATCGGCCAGCTTTGTACCAATAATTAAAAGTACTTCACTGAATTGCTTTATTTCTAGCACACAGATGATGTTAAGCTCGAAAATGGTCACAAAGAGAGGTGTTCTCCGGAAGAAGAAAACCATGAACAGGCAAACGGTGATGTGACGAAGTCAGACGTCCCACAGAATGAAGATGCAAAACGGACCAAGAAAGGAAACCCGATATCACGAATTTTACGACGTATATCCAGAAAAGGCTCTAATCTTAAAAAACACTCTGTCGACAACACTTGTGAAAAACCCGAGGATACTAATAATGACGAAAAACAAGAAGTTACCACAACTGAAGCACAATCTCCTGAGTGCACAGCAAATAGTAATGTGGATCCCACTTCAGATAGTCCTGTCCTACTAGTTGCAGACAACCTAGTTCAAGATGTTATCATTTCTGCCACTCAAACTCGTTTGGAAGAAATGCAAGTCTGTGAAGTGAGACCGTATGAAGAAAATTATAGTCACACTGAGACAAAAAATAATACTCAAGTGAGTGCATTTATTTTTTGTTTACCGTAAAATAAAACGCATACAACTCAACTATCACATGTCAATGTATTAGGCTATAAACCACACCTAGTGATTGTTAGCTTATATTATTTGAAATATAGTCGATTTGTGAGTATTCTGAAGTTAAGGATTGTTTAGTTGAGTTTTGATCGAATAATATAATATGATTGTACGAATATGCGAGCCTGATACTGGAATACTTTGTGTGTATTATTTGGTATGTGTTACGGAAAAGTTGCATTTAGTGTGCTACACTGAATTGAAAACTGTTAACAAAACCTGTTCTTTTTATTTCCAAACTTTGTATTGTTTTACTTGTAGTGAGTAATCATTTTTATACATCAGTTTAAACCATTCATCTAATACCTACATTGATTTTTCCTGTCTCAGATTTCTTGACAGTCAGCAGCATAGTGTATGTGAAATAAAATTCAGTGATAAGAGATCTAGTTCATTATCTTAATATCATTCGACTTCCTAAGGGTAATTTTATTTCTATTTCAAAATATTTGTTTTTTTACACTAATGTTGTAGAAAGTAAATCTAAATTAAAACTATTTACACCTACCGTAGTCCAGTTTCCTTTTGTTTTGGTTGATTGTTCCAGTTCAGTTAGTAATGTCTTAAGAAAACCAGTTTATGCTTTTCCTTTACAAAATTTGTATTAATTTTCCGAATTATATTTTAGGAATCACTCTCCGAGGTAGAAATTTCACATGTCAGTTCTTGTGTCAATGAATCTTATGTAAATGGTGAACCTGTAAATGAAAGTATAGACAAATCTGAAGATGTTCTGGTAAATGGTGTTCATGCACATGAAGAAGTAAATCTTTTTTCTTTGTTTTGTCTTGTTTTTTTCCAAGTTTTCGTATTATAAATCACAAATACTTATGCCTAATCACAAAACTAGTGAACCTTCAATGATTACAACGAAAGTATCATTGAACTACATCCTCTGACGTATCTCCTGGCATTGCTTGACATGGTCCTTCGAATTCAATCCAGCTAGTTCTAGATTCGCAACAAACCGCAAGCATTGTATTGTACTATAAAATTCTTTTATAATTACTTATTATGGACTATAAAGCATACGAAACCTTTCCAGGTTACTTAAACCCCTAATAATTTAATACGTCAGTCTTTAGTGAAAGTATGTAATTTATGGAATCAGAATAGTCCGTTGTGAGCTACAATTTGCCGGTTTTTCATGTAATTTCTTTCGTTGTACAAAAGTGTCGATGTGTTGTGTGCTCACAACATTGTCATTTCTCTCATCGTATTTCGTCCCAAAAATTTCATACAGCATACGGATATGTCACATTGAATAAAACTATCGTTTTTATTACTATGAATACTTTATTTCTGTTTCTGATTGTGTAGGTGAGTGGTGTGGATTGCAACAATGCCAATGGATATGTTGATGATAACGTAATCCAGTCTAAGCTAGCAAATCTGGAACTGATTAACGGACATTCTGAAGTTAATGGATTTCATTATGAAACAAAAAACTCAGTGATGGTATCTAATGATTACTAAGAGCATGACAATGTTTACATCTATTTTGTTAAGCAACTTTACAGTTCATCTTACAAGTCAAATATTTTTCACCCCTCTGTAATAAAATTGATTGTCTTTTTCTTTTGGATATTGTCTTACTAATTGTTTTCTACATGCATCCGGACGTTCCGGTCATATCACATAATAATACTAGGTGAGATTACTGTTTTGATTATTTATCTATTTCTAAATTTATACACCTGAAGCGCATTAATTACTTTGGATTACTAAATGTGATAATTTAATAAATACATAAATTATAAATGAATAATGCTGTTAGATCATAAGGAGACCTGTCCGAAGACATGCTTCTTTATTTATCTTGCTGAAAAAAGCTGTAACATCGCTACCACATTGTTACTTCCCGAAATATTTCTGGCGTAAGTGAATAAGTGGTAGGTTTGTTTAGAATATATTGAGATAAACGTGATAGGTTGGGGGATTGCATTGCACGTCAGTCACAAGTCAATGAATAGTGACATTTTCATAACAAAACTTACGATCTAGTAATGCAGTTATTGGAAAATGACCCCAGTTAAAAGATCACAGTCTCCGCTCCATTTTGATATACTAGGCTGTCATGGAATCAATCGACAACAATAAACGTTACACAGATTATTTCCAAAAGGCGCACTTTGAGGACAATATCGTCTAACTTTATACGCCAGGTATTATTTAGCAAGGATTTTGTGGTAAAATTTAAATCACAACGTAACGGAACTTGTCCCTGACTTGGTATTAATTTTGTCTCCTGACAGGCATCAAAGTTATTGGATGTCTTAATTGTGGCATTCACGTAGACATCATAGTATAAGTAGTAGCAGCATTTGATTTGTTTGCATGTATCGCATTTGAGTCGAACGCTCCCAAAATCTGTCCATTTGATAATTATAACATTAAAAATTTTGATAGTTTTTACTTCAATTTATCTCATACAATGCATGTTACTAGTGTTATTATAAAGAGCAAAATAAACTGTTTAGAATGTTAATTTGGTAATGTGTTTCACGCGGTATTTACTTTTATTAGTGCTCATTTTATCAGATTTTTGTAAGTTTTGCTTTCTAGTGACATAGTCTTCGATATGATTTACATTGTTACGTTTTCTTTCTTATTTAGTGGTATTCATCAACAAAGCGATCAATGTATGCTACATACACACGTTTAGTACAAACAATTGTATTCAGTTAATTTCTTTCTTTACTGAACTGTTACTAAAATTCTGTTCAAATATCTTACCTTTTATCCTCACTATATCTGTAAATCTGTATCCAGGATTAAAACAATGGTTTCAAATGAATGCTTACATTTCATAATTGTTAATATCGACGAGTTTCCTACTTGGTTTTACTTTACATAACTCTTCTCCAAATTTGCTTTTGACTGCTTTTAGAGACCTCTTGTATTTGGATATGACTTTATTTTTTGGCTTTTCAAAAATCATGTTTTAATAATACGATCTGGTCAAATATATAATCATAAAGTTTTCATCGACAATCTTATGTCCAACTTTCTTTTAGGAAATCATTGCCCTATTTCATTCAAAATAATGTCACATTGATTTAACCATTATTATTGATTTTAAATGTACGAAATATTTTAAAACGCTTGTCCTTATTTATTCAGAATTTTTGGGGTAAAGGAAGTTTGAAGCAATCTAAGTTTCCTGGCTTCAGTAACATGGTCAGTGTTGCTGTACCTATTCCGATTTGAATTCCTTAAGTACAAATGCTTTTGTTTTGGACTACAGAATTTAAAGGTTATAGAAATTTGTAATTATTAAATTCATTAGTTAGTGAGTTGCTGTTATTAATAACAGACTTATTAAAAGTTAAAGGCATTAGGGAGGAAGGTTTGTTGTTACACTGTCGAGTTGAAAACCCAGAATCCTTTTATCTAACTTGGGATTTTTGAGGGGTCCTATTGTTGTCTCTTAAATTCTGTATATTATCCTCGACTAATCTAGAGAAACTTGAGTAGTACTTTGTTCCTGAATTCAGGAGATAGACCTTTGCTTTCTAAATACATCTGATTTATAGTCAAAACATGTTATCTTATTGAATGGGAATCAACCTCTTATTTTCAAAGGTACTTTTAAATCTCATGTCTGGCTAATTCCTGACAGCGAGATAGTTCATTTTAGCGGAGTCCAATTCTACGACTGATATTATGGTTTTAAACTTTTCGTAAGCTTGACTCAATTTACTTCGCTACTTGTTTTAGCTCACCGTTATTTGTTTCACTCAATTCGTTCAATAAAGGAGTAGAACATCCGAAGATATGAACCATAGTTTTGAATGGTGTTGCTAATATTAACAGCGGAATTCTCACCAAGGTGTGGTGGAACTCGGTTTCTGTTTCTTAATTTGGTTGAGAGCAGTGTCGAGCAACAAATAATTTCTACTTTGGCCAACTAGAAACAGTTTGATGTTGGCCAGTGACCTTCTGATAATATCCCTTGCATTTCATGCTGTGTTATGCAGATAACCGGTTACTGACAGTGCATAAATCTGCGGTGGGATATATTTGATAATTCAATGTTGCGAGTTCTGCCTTTTCAAAATTCAGTATAATCGTAATCAAACTAGAATATTCGAGCTACGTCCATGTAACATTTCTGAAATATGACACCCATGAGTTCTTCATATACTTTTGAACAAACGTAAACTGACGATGATCACGAATAAACCGTTGTAAATCTAGTGTATTGGAGTTAATAACTGGTGCTCTTACGTCATGGATATACAAAAGGGACAGGTTTCTAATTTTGTGAGTTAGTGATGCATTTATGTGCCTGAGTAGTTCATTTATATAAACTAATCGAACTGAAGTAGGCCGAAATAATTAAATTATAATCTTGATCACAGTACTAAAAGCTCTTTAATTCAGTTCTTAAGGGCTAATTGACTTTACCAAATTTTCTTAATTCACCTTCCAAATAATTCTAAATCGTTTAGAATGCATCAATAAGTTAGTAGCAGCTCCTGAGATATCTTCGTCCACGAGGATTAGTAATTGGCTTTTGTTTAAATCATTCAGTAGCATCCAAAATTGGTTTTAATGTCTGTCAAACGAAAATCAGACCCTTGGTCTAAATTGGATTGAAACCCATCTGTTTTAGTGTCTTAAATAAATTACATGGCACTCTTAGCTACGAGACTGTTTTCGATCAGTTTCGTTGTTTGGCTGACAATATAAACAGCTTATCCAGTGTTCAACCGTATTTGTTTATCATTATTATTGAAATAATAGTTCTATAGGGATTTAAACATAAACTGTACTACGTCACAGTATAAATTTTCGTTGAAAATGTTTTCCACGTAAATTGTATACATATTGATATTATCAAAGTAGATAAGTTCACATCAACTTTGTAGTTGTATGTATGATTTATCACGTTTTCACTACATATATGGTTATATTGTAGTTCCTTTTTATGTTTAGTGTGCTTTGCGTACAAAATGCAACATGGCTGCGAATCCCATTTACAAAATCAGTATTACCTATAACGATTGGATAAATTAAGTGAATAGTCGGTCTATTTTGTTTGCCTCCATTTATGACCCATTGAATTGTATTTATTCATTGTTTGACATTTTCATGCTGACGAGTTTTAACTATATATCCTATATGAAAACAGAAAAATAGTGTTACCAACCAGGGATTGTCTATTTGCTGTATAAAAAAACAAAGGGAACTAGTAGCTGTGTGGTTCTTCGATAGTGAGTGATCAGTGGTAGATTCTTGACGACAAACAACGTATCATTTGATGTCTGTGGACTGAATTCATAATTGTGTCTCAGTCAGACCTCGAATCCACCACACACAATTCCACGCTAAAATGTTATCATCTTAATTGCCAACTTATTCGACATATATCGGTTGTGAATGGTGCATGGAAATTTCTGTGATTTAATTGCAAGGTCATTGTGTTTATGTATACATGTTCCGGCTAGCGAAATAACTTAGAATATTCATCTCGTCCGACACCACCATTCATTGGGGTTGATGAGCCGAAAATTTAAAAACCTTTTTCCTGAATTCTACTGGTAATAACTGCTACATAGTTATGTCAAGATAATATCAAAAGTAATATCCACGGAACCACTGAAATACCTACATGGCAACAAGAGCCTAGAGACTCGAGACTGTAAATTAACAATTTGTCATTTCAAAAACTAGCATTATAAAATATCATGGTTGAGATAAAGGATTCCAAAATTTAGAAACACTGAAAATAAGGCGGTATCCAAGTGCTTAAACAAATGAAATTAAATTGTGGTTTAAACTTGAAAACTAATAGTTATTAGTTCACTTCTTAAACAACTAATGACATAGCTCCATCTACCTTACTCCAGTTAACCCAATAGCTGAAATTAGTGCCATTATTATCTATGATTCTGGCTAAATAATCAATTAAGTCATATAGAATAACCTGGTCTGTAACATGATACAATAATATAATGAATATTTTACATTCTCTGTGTTAAGCGCTTGTATTAATCCCCAAGATCCTGTTTATTAGATACGCATATTTGAAACGTCAACTTTTCTCGTTAAAAATTCTTTTCAAATGACCCAAAACTTCGTAATAACACAACTGAATAGTATGTACACCAATTTTTTTTCTACGTAAGAAGTTTTGTGTATCGAAGGTGATGATATTCAGTTGGACGTAATATGTTCTTGATCTGAGTCTAGAAAATGCCTATGTTTGATTTTAAATAATATAAACTGTGAATAAAATATTACTTTTTAACAAATGTATTGCCAGTTGTGCATAAATTATTTGTCACTATTACTTCCTATGTTATAAAAATGTTAAACTTGGATTTCAGGATATGATTAATTTCCAGTTCTACCAACTTCTAGCTGAAATCACATATATGTAATATTCTAAAAAGGCTGGATGAAATTCTATGATATCCTTGAATTTAATTTGATAATTCTTTTAATACATATATGTTTATTATTTATTTTATGATTATACTTTATAGAAACACTGCTTCTTCGTCCATTAGTGTATTCGATTAGTAGAATAACTCAAGTATGGTTTTGTTTTAGTTGATTTTATGTGTTGAGTTCTTATTTTAATTGTAAAAAATCCTTCATTTTCAGTATGTCACCTGACTTTTATTAGTCCACTAATCTAGAAAAATTACACGATGAATATGTTTACATGATCCTTTTAATTTTTCAGATTTTGTAAAACATATCTATATGAGCGCAATCATCAAAAACTCCTCATAATAATACTAATGTACTAATGACTGATATTGCGAGGTGATTCCAGGCGTTCTTGTGGCCAGTGAAGTTCACACATGTTGGGCGTATGACAGTTACCAATGGTTTTGGAAGTCACTTGATTTCACGAGTTGACTGGACCTAGAAATGTAACCCATTGGATGTTCGCTTAGTGGTCTAGAACTTAAACGCTTGTCTAAATATTTGAAGGTATTGGGTTCAATCCCTGATAAGAGGTGAATGGTCACTGCTGAGGAGTTTCATATACAAGTCCAATGTAATACAATGAACCAATCAGACATCGAACAAATGATAAGCCTATGCGATTGACCAAGATTTCGCACTAACGGTGGATAAATATGGTTTAAATTTCTAGGGTACAAATGATGTTTGTATACTTATATGTGAATGCGTGTACAGTTATTTTGCTTCGTTTGACCAATAAAAAGCTTAATTCTCACCTCAATAGCTGAGTTGGGAGCGTATAAACGATTGTGTATCAATATCAAAATCGGATACTGAAAAATATATCACAATGCTCCCTGGTTTTTAAAAGTTGTATTATTAAAAGTAATCCGTGATATATACTATGACATTTAAGAATCTTCATAAATCCCTTATAGTAACAATATTCATAGATTATTTTAATATTATTCTCTTTCTCTACTACTAATCAGTTTCACTGATTGTTTCTGAACCTCGTCTATCATTAAATTTATTGTCTAATTATACCATGTACTGTCAGGTATGTGTCTTCATCTTAAAACAACTGAAAATAACGAATAAAACTTATGCATAATTGGGGTTTCCGATAACAAACTCGCATATAATAATCATAAATATAATAAGTGATATTTAAAGCCAATGGATTTAAAGTATTGTATATGTCATAGTGTACTCTAATAACCATGATATTCCAATTCATTACTTTGAATATTTCCAATATTTATAAAAATCCTTTATAGAATTCCACATTTTACACATTCATTTAGTAGTGCTGATGTTATTCGGAAATAACTAACAGCATTTGTATTTTCATATGAATTTAATTAATAACTGGATTTCAGTGTATTTAAAACCAAATATCTGATTGATATTTAATGCCTCAATAGCACAGTACAATCTGCTTCTGAATGTCATTATTTCAAAACTTGCAATATGATTCAACTTAAAAAGCCATTTAAATAATCATATTCTGACAGGCTTCCAGTGATACTAAGACCTTAGTTATCATGGTGTTGATAGTAATTAGTTTCAGATCTATTATTTTTGTTAAAGTTTTTTAATTCCCATTCACTTATTAGATCATATATAACAAACTATTAGATATTAATGTGATAAATGATGTTGCATAGAAATAT